GAATACAAAAGAATTCCTGTTGTAGCAGAATACAAAAGGATTTCCTTTCTGGCGGAATACAAAAGAATTCTTTTTGTAGCAGAATGCAAAAAAAAATCCTTTGTGGCGGAATACAACAGGATTTCCTTTTATAGTCGGAATACAAAAGAATTCCTCTTGTAGCAAAATACAAAAGGATTTATTTTGTTGTGGAATACAAATAGATTCCTGGCGTGGAGAAAAACAAAATAATTTCTTTTTGTTGAGGAATCCGCCGACCCTGTCGGCGTGTGCGAGGGGCTTGGCTGTTCGAGTCGTCGTCTCCGTCGGTCGTCGCCTCCGTCGTCCCCTTTCCCTGCAGCTTCCTTCTCAAGCTCGTGAGCGAGAGAAAAATCTAGCAGTGTCGTAATCGAGTCGAAGGGAAGCCCCTTCCCTTTGATCCCTTCCCCAGGGGGGGGGGGGGGGGGTCCCGGGGGGGGTCCCGGGCCGGGGGCAGATTCGTTTTCCCTCGGGCGGCCTAGAAACCTCGAAAACACTCCAAATGAGGTCCGAATGCCCAAGATGGCCCCCGAGACGGCCCAAGAGGGCCCCGAGTCGCCCAAAGATCTGCCGCAAACGCCCAAGACAGCCCCAAGACCGTCCAAGAAGCCTCCAAGACGTCCCAGGCCCCCTCCAAAAGACCCCCAGGAAGCCCCAAGAGGCCCCCACGAGGCTTCCAAGCGACCCCTAAGACCTTCCCAAGAGGCCCACAAACTACCCCCAAGAGGCCCCCAAGAGCGCTCGTCGTCGTCGTCGTCGTCGTCGTCGCCATTCAGGGTCGGCGGCACCGGCCGTAAGGCTTTCGCAATACAAAAGGGATTCCTTTCGTGGCGGCTTCCCACCCCCCAACATCTCAAGGACTACCCCCCACCCTACAACGAATGCAAAAAGCTTCGTTGTAGCTCATTCTGAACAAAAAAGAAGGACGCTCAGAAACACAGAGAAACACATATACGACATCCAACGTTGCCGTATGGGTGCCTTCAAAATTACCACAGTGGTCCCATGAGGGCCCCGGGATGGCGCTGAATGGCCCCGAAGGGGCACACATTGCGAGAAAGCCTCAGCAGGCGTTTGTGGTTGACTCTCGTGGTCGTCATCGTATCGCTGTTCCTCCTCCATTTGTTTCCTCATTCCCTCTTTTCATTGCATCATCGCCGTCCTCTTCCTCATACGCCTTCTCCTTCCTCACTCCTATTCCTCTTCCGTCCTCCGTACCCCCTTCTCCAGCTCCTCCTGCATCCCGCACGTCTCCCCAGAAATCACGACTACCCAACCACAGTGCGTTCCACTGCGCGCGCCGCCCCAATCCAAGATGGTTCCAAGCGACATCCGAGAACCCCCACGACAGCACCACGACTCGCATGGCAAACTGTTTCTGGATGGGCTGGCGGGGGCACGCGAAGCGTCAAGGATTTTGGGACGCGCGCTTGGCGCGGAGCGCTCGAAAGCGAATGCCCGCGACAGCAATGTCGTTTAAGACATGTGGCAATGGTAATGACGTTCTTGGATTGGGATGGCGGCGTGTCGTTTGTGGAAGTTTACGCAGCACGCAATACAATGTGCTAGCTAGATGCAACGCAATGTACTCTAATGCAAAGTAACGCAACGCAAAGCAATGTAACACAACGCAATGTAATACTCAATATGAATACGTCCCTCCCTTCACGCCGAAGTTGATGGGAAAATCGGGTGCCCCTCGGGAAGACACCCCCTTGTGTGGGCGGCACATGGGGGTCCCGAGGGGAACTAAAATCCGCCCAGGCGCGCCCCTGCAAAAAAGCGGGGGCGCGCTGCGCAGCTGCGCGCACCATCGATGCCGAACGTTCCTGGTTCCGTTTCCCTCTTGCATCGATGCATCACAAGGAGGCGCAATGGACGGATTGTAGGGGGCGCCTAACAAGTGCATTAGTAGAGGTGCACCCTGAAGGAACGGCCGAAAACGCGTTGGAGCGAGATAAACTCATTGGAAAGACCAACTTCTCAAATCCCATGTGTGAAAAATCAATACGCGGAGGCTCCTGGAGTGTCCGTCTAGAAGCCCATTAGTTCTGAAGCTGATGAAGCGAGAGGGCGATGAAAACGACAAGGGCGCAAAGGACGATAAAGGGCGAGATGGGTAAGGAGGCGAAGGGTTGAAATTGGCGCTGAGCCTTTCTCGTCCTGCTCACGTTCGTAATCATCAACAACATTGTACCTCATGGAGGTGGGGTCACGCGCGAACAACGCGCGATATTCGTCAACCTTTTCTTTTCTGTGGTGTGTGTTTTTGAATATTCGCAGGCGCGCGTATGTAATCGAGGCCCAGAGTATGTTTGGAGTAGTTTAAGGGGTTTTATGATTTGCAGGGTGTAGCGACCCCGCCCCATATAATTCTAGGAAGCCCTCCGCCCTCCTCCACCCTCCTCCTCCTCCTCCTCCTCCTCAGCCTCCTCCTCCTCCTCCTCCGCCTCCTCCTCCACAGTTACTCAATATGAATACTACTCTCCCTCTTCCCCTGATGACGGCCTGGGAATGTCCGACCCCCCCCCGCGCACTGTTTTTTCCACACACAGGTTTCCCCAGAGTTGGGTTTTCGCCTGCACTTGTTCCAAAATGCTGCTCTCGCTGAGGCGCCGGCCTCATTTTCGGGCCCCGCTCGTTCCGAATCGTGCTCCCGCTGCAGCGCTGGCCTCATTTTCGTGCTTCCGCTCTTTCCGAAGCGTGCTCCCGCTGCAGCGCTGGCCTCATTTCCGCGCTTCCGCTCGTTTGACTCGTGCTCCCGCTGCAGCGCTGGCGTCATTTCCCGTGCCATGCCACGGCATGCAATGCAATGCTAGGTTGATACTACGCTTTGCGGTGCTCTTCTACGCCATGCCATGCCGTGCTATACAATGCATCGCGTACTCTTTCGGGATCATTGCCCTGCTCGACATCCGACTGAGCGAGTAGAGAGGGAATCTGCGCCACGGTAAGCGATGGGAGTGAGGGGTAGGGTGTCAGATATGACGCGAGCGCACCTAGCTGGTCCCCCTCCCCCTCCCCCTCCCCCTCCTCCCCCTCCTACCCCCCTCTGCGCGTGGCTGAGATTCGCCGCGCTGGCGCCCGTCGGCGCTCCGCTCGTGGGCGCCCCGCGGGCGCCCCGGGGCGGCCCGTGCCCGCTCGGGGGCGCCCCGTGCGCGGGGCCGCCTTTCCGAGGGCTCGCCTCGCTGGTGGCTGCGCCCGCTCGTGGGCGCCCCGTGGGCAGACCCGTGCGCTCACGCCACATATCGGGGGTGGACAGACCCCCCTTTAGTAAAATTGGGCGCCCGAATTATCCGGGGTAACTCGGGTCCGGGGTAACTCGGGTTTGGACTCCCGGAAAGGGAACCCGAGTTAGCCCTGACCCGAGTTATCCCTGATGATTCGGGGCTCGGGACGCCCGAGTTATCCGGGGTAACTCGGGTCCGGGGTAACTCGGGTTTGGATTCCCGAGAAACGAACCCGAGTTATCCCTGACCCGAGTTACCCCTGATGATTCGGGGCTCTGATAAAACGTGGTTTGGTAAAAATGACCTGAGGCCGAAACCTGGCGGGCGCAAGCCTGGATAATAACGGCCACGGCGCCCTCTCGAGAACCGAAACCGGACAATTCACTGATCGACGTGTCACTGTTGGGGGTTCTGTCCACCCCCGATCATAGCTCACCACACAGTTTGCATCACACAGCTCGAGATTTAGCTCACTATGGCTCACGCCACGTGCACTGCACGCTAAAGCTCGGACCATGTAGATCACAGCACCCAGCCTACACAATAGAGAGTACAACACCTAGCTCTCACAACATAGCCACAGAAGCGCTTCCAAAGGGGCAGGGGGCGGCGGTGAATCGCCGTAGGCGTCTTCGATATATTCCACCACATAGTAGATCAGTTTATTTTTATGCGATAAGCCAGGTTATCCTGTCGGAGTGGAGGAGGTGCTGGCCGATAACCACACCTGTTTGCCTTGGGCAACCCAACGACTGCCCGCGCGCACCAATACTGCGTACCCCCTGTGGATCTACACAACCGGCTAAGTCAACATATCGGGGACTACCCCCTAACAACGTTTTTTAGCGTACACCCCACAGCTTGCACCACCTAGCTTGCACCGCAAACCCAACGCACTAACTCACTGTTAGGATCTACGCTGACTAACATGCAGTTCAAGATGGTCGTATGTGTAGACATTGTAACCTATATTTATCTAAAAATATACCAGGGGGAACAAAGGAGGTTCCAAAGAGGCCCCCTTAAGGTCTAAGAGGGCCCCGAATCGCTGGACGATCGGTCCAGCCTGCCCAGAATGGCCTGCACACGGCTGAAGAAGCGCCCAAGCCGCCCCAAGAGAGGACCAAGAGGCCTCACAAGAGGGCCACCACGAGGCAAAAGTTGTTCAAGACCAATGGGGAAACTCACAGTTCAGCATATACGACGTTTCGGCCTAACGGCGCTCAAGACGACCCAAAAAGGATCGCCCCAAGCCGGCCCGACAGGCCCCTTAGAAGGCCCCAAGAGGGCCCAAGAGAGCCCCCCGGCAACCCAACAGGCGCCTCAAACGGCCCAAAGGCGAGACCCAATACGGCCACAAGTGGGGCCCAAGAGGGGGAGCCCGAACAGGCAATTCGAGCCGTCTGCCAAAAGATACCCCCATGAGGCCCCACTCAAAACTGCCTCCAAGAGGCCCACGAAAAGGCCTCCCACGACATCTCATGGAAGAGCCAAGAGGCCTGTGACCCACAACCCAGGCACGGTGGCGGGTGGGCCGAATGCCATTAGATCTGTTTGTATACATGAGCGTATGTATACATATGCACACCTGTGTATATATATATATATATATATATATATATACATATATACATATATTATATATACATATATATATATATATATATATACATATACACACATCTCCCAGGTCGCGGTGCAGACATCCGCAGAGATCCGGTAGCACGTGGAGGCCTCGCGGTGGTGGATGACTTCCCTCCCCTTTGTCCTGGGTGTCGGGGCGCGTCTTGGGGCACACCGTGAGGCAGCGCTCGCAGGCCGTGACGAGCATCGCGGAGTGTATCGAGGGGTCGAGCCTGTCGTACTCGCACTCCACGATCTTTCGCGCGACGGCCAGCGGATTGGTGCCCTGGAACGGGTCGCTGAGCGTGGCCATCTTGTACAGGAGGCAACCAATCGCCCACACGTCGGTCTTGTTGGAGTACGGCTGGGACTGCACAATCTCCGGGGAGTTGTACAAGATCGTCCCCACCATTGTCTTCATCATGGACACGGCCGCGGCACTCCTCTTCTGCCGCGCAAGGCCGAAGTTGATGGGCCTGTCTTCCTACACAACCACCATAAGCTGGAGTGGGAGGAGGAGGAGGAGGAGGAGGAGGAGGACGGAGAGGAGGAGATGGAGGTGGTGGAGGAGGACGAGGACGAGGAGGAGGACCCCCTGCCCCTCCAACTTATGGTGGTGGTGGTGGAAAGCAGGCCCATCCGAAGTCCACGATCTTGACCGCCAGCGTGTGCGAGTTGACGAGCACGTTGTTGGGCGTGAGGTCCCGGTGGGCGATGTCCTTCTCCACGTGCAGGTACTTCAGGGCCAGGCAGAGCTGCACGAGGATCCTCTCACCGTGGCCGGTTGCCCACCCTCAGGGCCAGGGTTAAGTCGGGCCTGTCCCTCTACAGGAGGAATATTGAAGAATAGGCAAACAAATAATCAGGGGACAATTTCTTGACTATTTTTGAGCATGTGTTGGGTATTTTCTGAGCCTTGTTTATGTTTCGTCAAAAATCCGCCTGTAGGGGGACATGCCCGACCTAAGGCCAGGGAGGGCGACAAAAAACCGAACAAACCGTCGGCTAAGAAAAACAAAGCATGCACAATAAGTATGCAGCTGCGTGCCACATGAGAGGCGGAGCCAAAACCCTACGCTCTATCGTAAAAATACGTCTTCGGTTCCGGAGCCGCTTTGGAAGAGTCGGAGTCTGGGGGACGAGAACTAAGTGGCCCCAGCAGGGAAATCGGCTCTGGTTTCCGTTCGTGCCGCGCGTGCGAGCCACGCGAAGGTGCGCAAGGGTGACGATGTCTAAGCGTAGCTAAGACCAGATCGGCGATCTCAAATCTGCCCCAATTGCGCGGAGACCCGCCGTGCTTGTCCTTAGATTGTCCTGCGATTGTCCCGCGGACAACGCGCGGATTAACCCGTGGTTGTCCCGTGGTTGTCGAGTGGGTTGTCTGGTTGTTGTTCCGTGGGGTGTTCTGTGGATTGTTGTCCCGCGGGTTGTCGCATGGGTCTTTTCCCAGGTTGGCCCATGGGTTGTCCCGTAGTTGTTGCGCGGGTTGTCCCGCGGGATGTTTCGCGGTTGTCCAGTGGGGGGAACATCCGGCATGAAAAAGCACCTGCAATCGGAATGCAAATCGAACCTCACTACAATCCCACCAGCCCTTTAGGGCAGGAGTGGTGTAGGAATGTCCTCTTCCAACCCACCTGGGAGGGATGTATCACTTTTGCCTATTAATATACACCCCCCTCCCCCAGGCGACTGGGAGCCAACCCAGGTCAATGCGGGCCTCCCCCCACCATCCCTTATAAAAAACAGCAAAACACACTCTGTCTCCAAATTCCGAACATGCGCAGCGAACCCGATGCGGCCTTCCCCCACCATCCCTGTCAAAAACAATACAGAGTACGCTTGGCGGCGGCGGCGGCTGCGGCGGGGACAGCGGCGGCGGCGGCTGCGGCGGCTGCGGCGGTGGCGGCGGCGGGGGCGGCGGCGGGGGCTGGGGCGGCGGCGGCGGCGGCGGCGGTGGCGGCGGGGCGGCAGCGGTGGCGGCAGCGACTGCGGCGGTAGCGGCTGCGGCGGCGGCGATTTGGCAGCGGCGGCGGCGGCGGCGACGGCGGGCGGCGGTGTCGGCGGCAGCAGCGGACAGCGCGGCGGCGGCGGCGGCGCGGCGCGGGCGGCGGCGGCGGGCGGCGGCGGCGGCGGCGGAGGCGGCGGCGGCGGCGGATTGGCCCCCAGTAGCTGCCCATCCACAGACGACTGCTGCATATGCTGCGGCTCGGGCCAGGCTCGGGTGCTCCGTATGTTGGGAGGGCGGGTGGGAGTGAGCGAGACGGATTGCGGGCGGGGAGGGCGTCTTGACCCCTCCCCGTACCCCCTCCCCCTGGACCTGGAAGGGGGGGGGCGGCGGGGGGTTTGAGCGTCCAAGATGGCCTAGGCGGGAAAGCCGACATCAATGATTTACAACAGGTTTTGATCTTGTGTTTGCCTCCTAGGGGGGGGAGCGAACTTGATCGAAATCCTCTGGAAGTGACCCCCCCTTCTTTGATCGAACTCCAAGGTGGCCCCACGATGGCCCCCAAGAGTGCCCCAAGATTGCCCCAAAAGGCGCCCAGGATGCCCCAAGAGACCCCCCAGGGGCCCCCAACATGCCACCAAGAGTATCCCCACTCCCAAGAGGCCCCAGGAGGCTCCCACGAAGCACCCAAGACGCTTCAAGGGGCCCACATGACCGCCAAGAGGCCCCCAAGACGCCCCAACAGGCCTACAAGAAATTCTCAAGAGACATCTGAAGAGATTCCGAGAAGCATCCAAGAGGCCCCTGGCCGTTATATGTTCGCCCTCCTCCGATTCCTCTTTCTCATCCGCCTAATCCTCCTCTGATCGGCTTTCAGATCGAACGCTGAATGGATTTGCAAATCGACAAGACAGTGCAACGCTCTTTTGACACAAATGAGCTGCGGACGTCGATCAATATCGATAAGAACAGATACCACTGATTGTGCATGTGAAGGGAAACACCCCCTCTCGGACGCAGCGGACAGCGGGCCCAAGCCCCACTCCTGCGGCGCCACGTGCGCCGTGTGCAGCGCGCCAAGGCCGCGCGCATGCCTGCAGACCTCTCGCCCGCTAGGCCCGTGCACGGCCGACCACTCTCGATACATGTCGTCCGCACCTCCCGCTTCAGTGCGGGACCTCTAGGTCCGTGGAAAAGGAAAGTAAACTCGTGCATCGGCCCGGCGCCATACACCCTAGAGAGTGCGATGGAGCCGGCTGCCCTCGTCGCGCACCTTAAAGCCCATAGCCTCGAAGTGCCGTCTCAGATGTGTCTGGTCCAGCGCCTTGGTGAACGCGTCGGCCGGGTTCAAGAGGCCCGGCACATGCTTGATCTCCACTTTGCCTGCCTTGACCTGGTCCTGCAGCCACAAGAACCTCGTGTCTATATGACGGACCGCGCCAAGGCCTTGCCGCGTGGCGATGCCTTCGGCCGCCACGCTGTCACTGCGTAGCAGTGGCCTCTCCAGATGCCGCACGCCGAAGTCGTAGAGCATCGACTGCAGCCCCAGCGCGTGGCTCGCACCCTTCAGCATCGCGTAATACTCGGACTCCCCTGAAGACAGCGCGACCGTGGTCTGCTGAGTGGAAGCGTGCTTCACGAGATGGGAGCCGAGCATGAGCATCATGCCACTGCGCGACTTCCTGGTAGTCGCCTCGCCGGCCCAGTCCGCGTCTACAAAGATCTCGACGCGCGTGGGGAACTCTTGCAGCTTGAACACCAGCGAGCCGGCCCGGGCCTGCTTGAGATATCGGCCCAAGCGCTTCAAGTCTATCATGTCCGACTCGCGTGGCGTCTTCATCGACTTGGCCAGAGAAGACGCTGTGTAGCTGAGGTCCGGCCTGTCCTGCCCGATGTAGCTCGCGCGCATGACCAGCGAGCGGTAGAGCTTGGACTGTGCGTCGTCGAGCGTCTGGGACTGCGAGGCCTCGATCATCTCGGTCACGCTCTTCTTGACCGCAGGCGTCTGCACCGGCTTGGCGTCGCACAGGTGCAGGTCTCGAAGGATCATGTCGACGTGACGGACGTCCGACTCGATACGTGCTTCGCCTGCGGCGGGATCCCAGATGAGCACGCGGTTCAAGTAGACCGTGCTCTGGACCCCTTCGGCCGTCGAGGAAAGGCGGCCCGTGACCTTGTAGTCGTACTTCTTCAGCAGCTCGTCGAACCAGGCCTCGTCGTCTGCGTACATCAGTACGCCGAAGTCGTCGCCATGCACCTCGAGGGCGATGTCACGCCCAGGGTGCCACAGGATGGCGGGGCTCGACTTCCCCTGCAGGAACTCGACGGACTTCAGCAGCTCGACGTAGTCTCCCTGCCAGACCTGGCTCGCATCCATCGTGCCGTACATCGTGCGAAGGAGAAGCCCGACGAGCGGCTCCCCCTCGCCCTGACGCTCCTCAGGTGGAAGTTCCACCCAGAGGCGCCTCTGCACGTGCCCGTAGAAGTGGGCGCGCGACACGTCGTAGAACTTGTACAGCACCTCGCGGGGCTCCGAGCTCTGGAACTGCTCGAACGCCCTGCTGAGGAAGAGGCTGACCAGCGCCTTGAACGCCTCCAGCGGTGGCGCCCCCGAAAAGAGGTCCTGCTGCGGCGGCAGCAGCCCCTCAGCGCGCCGGCGGACCTTCATCTCCCGTGCCACGAGCCTCGAGCGATACAGCGGTCGCTCGAGGTCCCCCTTGTTGGTGTCAATCCACCGCGTGTCGATGGCACGACCTCCCTCCGCCTCCATCTCGCGGCGTGGAACCTTCTTCCACACTCCGCGGCTACGGCACCACTCCAGCTCCTCAGCCCTGGCCTCCTTCACCTTCAGCGGGTCGAGGAAGCCCCCGCGGACGTCGTCCACGAACGCCTCCGCCTCCTGGTCCATGTCCTCCGCGTGCGGCGAGGGCCCGGCGGTGAAGCCCGCCAGGTCCGTCAGCGATTCTCGAGCTCGAAGTTCCTCCCTGAGGCCGCGAAGGATGGCTCTGACCAGGCGGGGTGGGTACACCTGCGCCCTCAGAGCCCTCTTGTCGCCGAGCAAGCGCACGTGCCGGTAGGCCTCGCCGCCGACGGACGGGCAGCGGCACTCCCCAGCAAGGATGCCGGCCAAGACCTGCGAGTTCGTCAGCCAGCCCGTCTCCTTGCGCACGAATGCCTCGCGCCCGTCGGGCCCCCGAGCGTGGAGGCCCCAGCGGCACATCGGGCCGCGCACCAAGTACGCGCCCGGCAACTCCTTGACCCTCTGGACGCACGGCCGCGACCAGGAGGATGCGCCCCAGGGGTGCTCGTGCAGGAAGAGTGCTCCTCGCTGATGCCTGCTCTCGCACACCTTCATGGAGAACTCCAGGTGTGTCTCGCCCTCGAGGACCTCGGAAGCCACGATGCCCTCGCCCCGCTTGAAGTTGCTGAGCTGCCTGAGCTTGGAGAAGACCGTGCACGGCGGGGAGGTCACCGTGAGGAGAGGGTCGTCCTCCAGCAGCTTCTTCATGGCTGCCCGGCGGTGGTCCTCGCGAAGCAAGTCCCAGCCGGTGTAGAGGTCCGCCGCGAGGCCTGCAGTCAGGCCCATGCCGAGCGCCTTGCCCTTGAAGCGCTCGGGCGAGTAGACCTCTGCGAGGTCGACCCCGTTGATCTCGGTCAGCAGCGCGGACACCTCCTTCAGCTCCTCGATCGACATGGCGTTGTCGCCGATCAGGTCCGTGGCGCTCACCAGCGCCAGGATCTCCCTGTAGATCTTGCCCTTGACCTCGTCAAAGGCGCCGACGTCCATGGAGCTGCCAGCCCGCGCGGCTGGCCCTGCCAAGTC